TCCCGCAGGCAGCAGGACGCTGCTGTCTGTGGGGTCCCGCTGGGGACCAGCCACCCCTGCCAGCGCATCCCTCATCCTCTTCCACGTCCAAGCAGAACCGGCCAGGCTGTATCTGCCCCGCGAAGCAGGGAGTTGCAATGGCCCCTCGAGTGTTGACCACTAGTTGCAGCATGATGCTGAGAGCTGCTTCCTCTGGAAGCCCTGAGATTAGATGGGACAGAGCTGGCTTTGGACCCCGTCGGCTGGTCCAAGGGCTTCCCTCTCCTCTTCTCCCCCTCCCTTCCTCCCCTCTGGAGTTGTACTTGTTCTTGGAAACGTTCTCATAGTATCTCTAGAGGCTTCAACAGGGCTGGCTACCTAGTGCTGAGCATCACTGCTTCATCCAGAGCTCCATCCAGGGAGCTGCTGGCGACAAGGTCCTCCACTGTGTGGGTATCCTTGGGAAATGCTGTCCAGTTGCTGCCTGCCTCCTCTTTGGGCTGCCTGGTCCAAAGCTTCTCTGTGGTCCTGAGCTCCTTAGAGAATGTGCTACGCTCCCAAGTTTTGCATAGCTCTGGCTTGCTGGCTAAAGCTCTTTAGGATATCTCGGTATATACATGGTTTCTCACTCCTTCCTCCTGGCAGTGGAACTGCAGGATGAGAGCCAGGGTCAGCAGTGCACTGCTGTGAGGCAATGGCAGTGGAGAGATGAGGAGGAAGTGCTGGAGCTGGGGTGGTTTTTGCTCCAGGTGTGCCTGGAAGGTGCTGCTGGCTCCTCGTGGATGCAGAGGGGAGGGAAACTTCTGGGCATGACCTTGGCAGTGCTCCCAAGGACAGGAGCCTGCATCCTGGTGGGGATGTCTGTGCTGGGCTTGGAGGCGCTGAAGCGGGAGAAGGGAGTTTGTTTGTTTCCTAGAAAATTAAGGCAAGACCTGGGTTCCCCTTCCAGCTTGAAGGGTCCTGTAGCAGCAGTAGGAAGTGCAGGGAATTCCCTCTGGAGAAGGAAGATCAGAAGAGCAAGGCAGTGGATGAATGAATGATTCAACTGAGTGAAGGTCAAAGCTGCAGCAGGGTAGGGCTGCCTGGGGAGGATGTCTGACAGCCATGCGCTCACAGGTGCCCTGTGGCACACCAGCTCTGGCAGCCCTGGCTCCCTGGCATTGCCTATATAATTAGTGAGTCAGTGACTGGAACAAGGTGTTCTTGCCCCAGTGCATTGAGGTGGCACCTCTGCAGCTCTGATGTGTTTGCTCTTGGCTGTAAATACTTTGTGGTTTTACAGGTTCGAGGCGCAGCCCGTGGTGCGGGACTGGCGTTTCCGTGCTGCTGCTCTGGCAAGTGCCTGCCAAGGGGCAGATGTGAGGGCTGTTTTGCTGGGGATGTCATCCCTCACTTGAGCATTTGCATAGTAATTAGCCTGATTCTTTTATGGATTAATTCCAGCCAACTAGGTATTGAGTAGCTGCTCGTGTCTCCTGTGGGAGCAGCCTGGAAGGATCAGCTCGGGGAGAAAGGCAGCCTGACCTTCCTCCTCTTGCCAATGGGAAGCAAAGCCTGGCAGAGAGAGCAGCATAAGCATGATGCTGGCAATGCTGGGCCTCATTGAAGGTGTGTGAGGTCAGGGACAGAACTTCTGCCATGCTGTGTGTTGTGCTGGACTTTGCAGATCAACTGAGAAATGGCTCAAAGTCCCCTTCTGATGGAGCAGTGCAGGTTTCAGCCTGAAAATCTTTGGGCATCATTTCCTTGTATACGCATCTTGGCCGCTGTCTTAATCCTGCAGCAGGTTCAGTGATGCTTATCTGGGGCACGTTAAGGTGGCTGCAGTGCTGCTCTATCTCCCAGGTGATGAGTTTCAGCTCTTCCAGCTGCCCACTCTCTCCAGGAACAACCCTAAGTTGAGCTCCGCATGTGATGCTCCAGCCCCATGTGCTGTTCGGACATCACTGGCTAAATAAAACTTAATTGTGGCAGGGATTGAAGGAAAACTAACTGTGCAGCTCAGTGGGAAAATAGCAGAGCAGCTGTAGAGCTGCTGCAGAGCAAAGCTGCTGACCCTGTGGTAGCAGCAGGGGCTGGAAAGTTATGGCGTTTCCCATCTGCTGCAGGTCTGCATTTTGACTGTTGCACATGGGACTGGGGTTTTGCTGGAGCAGGGATGGCCAGCTACCTGCTGCTAGAGGGGAGCAAGGAATACTGTGCTTTCCCATGAGGCATCCCCTGGGCTAGCAAAGTGAGTGGTCACTAGTCCCTGCAGTGCTGTGGGCTGGGGTTGTGACCTTGGGGCTTTTGTTCTGCATCCCAATGGTCCAGCTGCTCCAGGAGCGTGGCTCTGGTGGATGCAGCCTGGCTGGGGGTAGAGGGTGAGGAAAGTGTTAATCCTGTATTCCTAGGAGATGTAACAGCTGTTTTCAGGGAGGAGGAGAATGCCCTCTTGTGCAGCCAGGGGCTGGGAGAGGTCAGTCCCAGGAGGATGGTGGGGATGAGGAGGGGAGAGATCAGCTGCTTGGCCTGGGCTGGGAGGGAGGCAGCAGCTACCTCCATGCTTCCCTTGGTTTGCTGTCCTGAGCCTGCCCTTGCCTTAAAGATGAGCCCACACCTGGCACAGGCTTTAGCCAAACTCAGAAAACCACAAGGTACAAACATACCTGCAGTGTGGGCAGGGTTGGCATGGGCAGCTGCCTGACCAGAGCCTGATCCAGCACGGGGAAGCTGCAAGGCAGCCAATACCTGGCATCCCTCACCAAGGGTGTGACAGGGCACTCCAGGGTGCTGGTGCTGCTGGCTGGCACCTCTGGGCCAGTGGGAGCAGTGGCTCACTGAGAGCTGCTGGCTCCAAACACCAAACAGCTGGTTTGTGTGTGCATCCCCCTTCCCAAATGTGAAATGGCACTGCTGGGTGTTCTTAGGGCCACTGGACTCCTCAGAGCTGTGTGAACAAAGAGGAGGACTATTATATCCCATACTGCTTCCCACTGGGAATTGATACAAAAAGCAGTCCAGCCTCTGGAGCAGGACAGGGAGGTGAGGGAGGGAGATGATGAGCTGCCATTTCTTGGCCTCTCCAGATTCAGGCTGGCAGTGCTTTGTGCAAGGCTGGGCTTTGGCTGGGTCAGTTTAGACATGAACCTACAACATCCTTTGGTTCCTGTGATCTTAGCAGATACCTGTGGAATTCAGTGAGTCTGTTGAAACCATCCAACACACCTGGATGCCTGGAGGTGGTGGAGGGATGGCCAGGAGCATCCCAGGGCTCCACAGAGCAGCTGGAGGAGCCTCTTGCTGCTGTGTAGCTCTGCCTTGTGTGACTGTGTGGGGTGGTTCTTTGGACAGTAGCCAATTGCCCGATTTACTGCAGATCCTTGAAAAGCACCAAATGCAAATCAGCCCAGAGAGTCTGCCTGCCTGCAGGGCTTTGCCAGAGCAGAGGAGGACAGGAGTTATGATATTGGTTCATATGCTTCAGCTTGGATGGAAAGTTGAAAATAGTGAATTGTTGTTCTGTCTATAATGGTGGTACCTGAATTAGCTCTCCAATAACCCCAAACATCAGGATTGCCACCTGACAGAAGCAGTCTGGGTCTCTTGTATCCTTGCTCTTCCTTGGTGCAGCCTGTGAAGGAAGCTAGGAGCACCTGCAGATTGATCTGTCTTCCAACAAATCATCTCTGTGAGCAAAACTGGTTGTTGGTCAGGCTGCCCAGACCCAAACCTGCCCTGTCCTCCTCTCTCCTCCTTCCTGGCTGCAGGGAAAGTGTGGCTTTCCTGGTGAAGTGTTCTTGTTACAATTGCATGGCCCATTAACAATCTGAAATGGGTCAGAGCTTCAGATCGTGTTCAAGGTTAACAGAGGCTTTGCAACTTGCAGTGCTGCAGTGCTTCCCATGGACTCCACAGATGTTGAAGCATCTGCTGGCTGCAGCAGGACTGAGTGATTCAATCCAGATGTTGGGACTCTTGCTTTCTGCCATGAAGGTAAATCCCTTTCTGTGGTAAAAAAAGCAGTCTGGACTTTGATGTTGTCTTAGATCTATTTTCCAGCTAAACAAGGTGACTGAGAAATGCCGGGGTCAAGGATTCAGGGCTGGCTCTGGGATGGGCACCTCTGCACCACGGCGTGGCCAGAGCACCTGCAGAGCACACTCACAGCCTGTGCTTGGTGCTGAGCCTGCCTGCAGCCTTGCTGTGAGAAATGCTTTGTGCAAAGGTGCTGCAGCTCT